TCCTGATGCCCCTTTGCTTCCCAATGAATCTCCTGATGCCTCTTTGCTTCCCTATGAACCTATTGATGCCTCTTTGCTTCCCCATAAATCTCCTGATGCCTCTTTGCTTCCCAATGAATCTCCTGATGCCCCTTTGCTTCCCCATATATCTCCTGATGCCTCTTTGCTTCCCAATGAATCTCCTGATGCCCCTTTGCTTCCCCATAAATCTCCTGATGCCTCTTTGCTTCCCAATGAATCTCCTGATGCCCCTTTGCTTCCCCATATATCTCCTGATGCCTCTTTGCTTCCCTATGAACCTATTGATGCCTCTTTGCTTCCCCATGAATCACCTGATCCTCTTTGCTTCCCTATAAACCTATTGATGCCTCTTTGCTTCCCCGTGAATCTCCTGATTCCTCTTTGCTTCCCCATGAATCTCCTGATGCCTCTTTGCTTCCCCATGATAGCAAGAAGCCTGGGAGCATGAGCGGCTCAGCCAGCCCATAGACTGGGAGGGTGTCCAGATAGATCCTGCTCCGTTCCAGCTTGTTGAGAGGACATCACTTCACAAGGTCAGTATGTTGATGATTCTGATGTCATTGTTTATATTATGTATCAGCATCATTGTTGTCCTTTTGTGCCATTGTTAGGTTGAGGATATCACTTCACAGGGTCAGTATGTTGATGTTTCTGCAGTCATTGTTTTTATCATATATCATCATCATTGTTGTCTTTTTGTGCCATTGTTAGGTTGAGGTTATCACTTCACAAGGTCAGTATGTTGATGATTCTGATGTCATTGTTTATATTATGTATCAGCATCATTGTTGTCCTTTTGTGCCATTATATGTCAGATAGGGCTCACAGTCTATTCCGCTCTGTCCTCCTTTTGTGCCATTATTTGTCAGATAGGGCTCACAGTCTATTCCTCCATTCCATTCTGTCCTGTGAAATCCTTTCGATATCGTGGATGGAATCCAGTCCATCACCTTTGGCCTCTCTCATCAGTGTTTTATTTAGGGTTTCTTATGAACGCCCTTGTTTCATCAGTCACTAAATGTTCCAATTTTGTGGTGATTCTGTGCATGTCTCTTCTCAGGAAGTTTCCAGTATAGCGCCATCTTCACTGTCTTTTAAATGTAATTACTGATGGTCGCCCAGACAGTTCTCTTATTTTGTTAACCTTCTTGAATTCATCTCCATTTCTGTGTTCATATTTTCCTCAGGCATGTGCTTTCAAATTCATGTTATTCCCCATATGGGTTCTGGGGCCCCATTGTAGGGAAAACATGAATAGATTTACTGACTTCCCATGCAAGCATGTCATAGGAGTCGACTAACTGGGGGCTTCCGTTGAAGTCGGAGTGCGTCTGCCTAAGTGGCAAGGAACAACCAACTGCATGCTGTCAGTAGAACGGATGTATTTGCAAAACTCAGGCCCTGGCACACAACCAAAATTTAAATGACAAACAAACAGGGCTTTTCGCCGGAGCTTACAACCTGTGAACAAAGATGAAGAAGAAGAAATCCATGTTATCATGTGTGCGCGCACATGTTTGTGTGCATGCTTGTGTGCGTAGCATGTGTGTTTTTTTTTTTTCAATCTCCTGCCTGAAGTGGAAGCAAGAACAGAATTCCAATTCTGATGCCACAGAATAACAGTGTGATTGTATACCTGTCTGGCCCCTCCCCTGAACGTTGAGCATTGGCCAGATCCTCTAGTCACTTAGCACAGATGTCATGCAGTGTTTGGAACTCACAGCACAAAGCCACTCACACACCACACATTTCCTGGAACTGCAGCAGCTAATACTGATGTTGTTGTTTTCTCTGCAGGTGCACTCGTTGTTTTCACTGTTGGGTTTGAGCCATGCTTTTGTCACCAGTTCTGGTCGCCTTGTTGGAGTGGTTGGACTCAAGGAGGTACATCTTCATTTCATTTACTGGGTGTCACTCGTTTATGTGTTTTCTTTTTCTTGGTTTTAGTAACAAGGATGTGAGTGCATGAAGTTCACCCCCACAAGGACCAGACAGTTAGTAATGAACATCCGGTGACACAAAGTGCCATCATTCAGACGAGAATCACCTGGTACATGTCCCAAAAACCCCGTTCAACCATTAGGTTATATTAGCGCCCCCGACAAAAGCCAGAGTGGGGCTTTAAAAAAGGAAAAACTGCGTCTTGTATTTGGACGGTGATGACTATAATGTGAAAAAGGAAGTCATTTTTACTCTTGTCTACATGACCTCTGACCACAGCTTTTCTATAGATAAAACAATTTACTGGACTCACCACAGCGTCTTTCAAACAATACCAGACAAAAAGGTGCTGGTAGTAACCACAAAGTGTCTATTACAGTAGTGAGTGTGAGTGAGTGACTTTCTACCCCACTAGGACATCACACAAGCGATAAACACCCGATGACACAACATGCCACCATGTGGATGAGGATCACCGTGGAGAGGTCCCAGAAACCGCGTTCAGACATTTGGCCATTTTTATGGCCTGCCTATATTGCGGCCCCTGGCGAAAGCCAGAGTGGGGCTTGAAATAACAAAAAATTACGTCCTGAAAAGGACGTAAGGACTTGAAGCTATATGTAGTATTACAGTAGTGCTTAATCAGTCAGATTTGTAGAATGGATGTGAACATATGACTCAGGTTCAAGAATAAGTCTAAAGTCCAGAGGTAGATAAAAGAACCAGAACTTTCCACCGGAGATTACAGCCAGTGAACGTGAAGAAGAAGTAGTGCTGGCAGAAGAAAACTGATGCTCTAATGAAAAGTGCCAGTACTGCGTGGTGCCAGAAACAAAAAGCTCTGCCTCTGACCATGTTCTTTACGCCTGGTGTCATGGTCTGATAGAGCAAGGGAAGTAATACAGTTGAAATTAGAACTGACAAGTTACGGAACTTATATTTCACCATGACAGTAATGCTGGTTCAAAGGTTACCCTCAGCTTTGTTTGTCTTGTCCACAGTTAAGGACAGCTGTCCAAGGCCAGATTGAGCTTCAAGAAGACGGGAAGAAGGTTCTGAGTGGCCCCTGCTGCACTGAAGAGGAAAGAGCTGAAGAAGACGAGGAATCTGCCCCAATAGATAACGCCAATATAGAAGTTGTGAAGGAACCCCAGACATCAGTGTACAGGCTCCGCAGTGTCAATTTGAATACAAAACAAAAAGATACAGAAGCTTAGAGACAATTTATAGATGACTGAAGTATTGTTGTGCAGGGATGATTGTTTTGCTGAATGTTGTTATTGGTCAGAGTGATGCATATATGTAGTTGTACGTTATTTAAAATATCCTGAAGTTTTTTGTTTTTTTTTTATGTAAACTTTCAGAGATGTGCTAGTTTATGTTAGATTTTCAAAATACGGTGAATTTTTTTTTCCAATGATATGCTAAATTTAGTTTATTTAATTGTTTAGTTAAAATGTTGTTTTTGGTCAGAGAGGCGTGGATGTTTAGTTGTAGGTTGTTGGAGATACACAGGGTTTCTATTTTTTCATTTTTAGAGACATGCTAATTTTTGTTGGTTTTCAAAATGCAGTTGTTTATGTTTATTTTTAATGATATATTAGCATTTAATTTATTGCCAGTGATACATAGTACGATGTGTTTGTTGTAGTGGATGTACTGAGGTTTAGATTTTTGTCAGTAAGATCCCTGGGGTTTGGTAGGGATAAATTGAAGTTTACTTCAATTGTTAACGATACACTGAAATTTAAATTGTTTTTTCAGAATGCAGTCAGTGCTGTTGTTGGGTATAAACTGAAGTTCAGTTTTTTAAATTTTTTATTGATACACTAAACTTCATATTGCTGTTGTTGATGCTGCACTGAAGTTTAAAGTTGTACTGGAATTGTATTTATTGTCAGAGATACATTGAAACTATTTGATTTTCTGAGTCATGTCAACATTTTGTTTGGTGATACACACTTATTGTAAAAGATACACTGCAAGATAAGACAGATAGGTGGATCGTCTTCTCTTGTTCGCATCCACCGGCTGTAAACTCCAGCAGGAAGTTCTGGTTGTTCATCCACTTCTGGACTTTCGTCTTGTTCCAGAACTTAAGTTTTGGGGTGTATATCATTTTTACATATCTGACTTATTCGTATGCAGATTATTAGATCCTTGCCTCCTAGGCAGAGGGGATACCCTTAATTATGACATGCTTGTGTGTGGGGTCGGGGAGTGTTTATCAGCCATTGAGAATTATGCATTAATCAGCCATTGAGAATTATGCATTTATCAGCCATTGAGAATTGTGCATTTATCAGCCATCAAAAATTATGCATTTTTCAGCCATTGAGAATTATGCATTTATCAGCCATTGAGAATTATGCATTATTCAGCCATTGAGAATTATGCATTAATCAGCCATTGAGAATTATGCATTAATCAGCCATTGAGAATTATGCATTATTCAGCCATTGAGAATTATGTATTTATCAGCCATTGAGAATTATGCATTAATCAGCCATTGAAATCCACATCCAGTAGAATTTTGTGTGTGTGACTTTGGCATCTCACTGATTAGTCTATAAAGTATGGGTCTAGCCCTGTGTGCCCAATATGCCTAAGGTTATGGAAAGAGTCATTTCCTTTTACTTGACTAATCAGTGTCATTTACAAAAACACAATGTACAGAAATAACATATGCGTGCTTACATGAACTTGTAGTATTCACACACAGTAATGTATTGCTTTCATTTCTAAAGTACAGAAAAGGACCCTTTCCACACCTTTAGACAAATTAGGCATATAGGGCTAGACCTGTATTTTATAGACCAATCAGCACTGGGTGGGTGCTGTGGTCAGCATCATGCCGGCCACATTTACTTCCCAGCACTGTACCTGGTACCCACTCAAGGCTGGGTTGCCCTGAGAGCCGAACCACCTTCCCATGCCACCACCTTCCCATGCCACCACCTTCCCATGCCACCACCTTCCCATGCCACCACCTTCCCATGCCACCACCTTTCCATGCCACCACCTTCCCATGCCACCACCTTCCCATGCCGCCACCTTCCCATGCCGCCACCTTCCCATGCCGCCACCTTCCCATGCCGCCACCTTCCCATGCCGCCACCTTCCCATGCCGCCACCTTCCCATGCCGCCACCTTCCCATGCCGCCACCTTCCCATGCCGTCACCTTCCCATGCCGCCACCTTCCCATGCCGCCACCTTCCCATGCCGCCACCTTCCCATGCCGCCACCTTCCCATGCCGCCACCTTCCCATGCCGCCACCTTCCCATGCCGCCACCTTCCCATGCCGCCACCTTCCCATGCCACCACCTTCCCATGCCGCCACCTTCCCATGCCGCCACCTTCCCATGCCGCCACCTTCCCATGCCGCCACCTTCCCATGCCGCCACCTTCCCATGCCACCACCTTCCCATCCACAGGCGAGTATCTAGCCACTACACCACAGTGGCTCTCACTGGCATTTCTACCGGTGAGACTTTACATGTTTATTTATTTACCTAACTTTAGAGTTTATAAAGAAAGATTTCGTCTTCAGGCACTTAGTCTCTGGACAGGAGTAGGCACTGGTGATCAGGCACTTAGTCTCTGGACAGGAGTAGGCATTGGTGATCTGGCACTTAGTCTCTGGACAGGAGTAGGCATTGGTGATCTGGCACTTAGTCTCTGGACAGGAGTAGGCATTGGTGATCAGGCACTTAGTCTCTGGACAGGAGAAGGCATTGGTGATCAGGCACTTAGTCTCTGAACAGGAGTAGGCATTAGTGATCAGGCACTTAGTCTCTGGACAGGAGTAGGCATTGGTGATCAGGCACTTAGTCTCTGGACAGGAGTAGGCATTGGTGATCAGGCACTTAGTCTCTGGACAGGAGTAGGCATTGGTGATCAGGCACTTAGTCTCTGGACAGGAGTAGGCATTGGTGATCAGGCACTTAGTCTCTGGACAGGAGTAGGCATTGGTGATCAGGCACTTAGTCTCTGGACAGGAGTAGGCATTGGTGATCAGGCACTTAGTCTCTGGACAGGAGTAGGCATTGGTGATCAGGCACTTAGTCTCTGGACAGGAGTAGGCATTGGTGATCAGGCACTTAGTCTCTGGACAGGAGTAGGCATTGCTGATCAGGCACTTAGTCTCTGGACAGGAGTAGGCATTGGTGATCAGGCACTTAGTCTCTGGACAGGAGTAGGCATTGGTGATCTGGCACTTAGTCTCTGGACAGGAGTAGGCATTGGTGATCAGGCACTTAGTCTCTGGACAGGAGTAGGCATTGGTGATCAGGCACTTAGTCTCTGGACAGGAGTAGGCATTGGTGATCAGGCACTTAGTCTCTGGACAGGAGTAGGCATTGGTGATCAGGCACTTAGTCTCTGGACAGGAGTAGGCATTGCTGATCAGGCACTTAGTCTCTGGACAGGAGTAGGCATTGGTGATCAGGCACTTAGTCTCTGGACAGGAGTAGGCATTGGTGATCTGGCACTTAGTCTCTGGACAGGAGTAGGCATTGGTGATCAGGCACTTAGTCTCTGGACAGGAGTAGGCATTGGTGATCAGGCACTTAGTCTCTGGACAGGAGTAGGCATTGGTGATCTGGCACTTAGTCTCTGGACAGGAGTAGGCATTGGTGATCAGGCACTTAGTCTCTGGACAGGAGTAGGCATTGGTGATCAGGCACTTAGTCTCTGGACAGGAGTAGGCATTGGTGATCAGGCACTTAGTCTCTGGACAGGAGTAGGCATTGGTGATCAGGCACTTAGTCTCTGGACAGGAGTAGGCATTGGTGATTCACTGCTAGACTTTCTTATTTTCTCTGAGTAGAGCATGAACACTGGTGTTAATAACACTGTTAAAGAGTTAAAGAAGCAAAACAGTGAGTTAAATCAAGCAACCCTGAGTGGGTTTCAAGTCCTCATGTGGGGGTTAGAATGAATGAACCCACTTTCCTTTTAATGAGCATGCTGTCAAAGGTGACTAATGATCCGTGTGGGTTCCGGGGCCCTATTATAGGAAAAACAAGAATAGACCCACTAACTACCCAAAAGCATGTGGGAGCTTCCTTCGAAGTTGGAGTGCATCTGCCTGAGAGGCAAGGAGCCAGCAGTCTGCATGCCAATGAGTCAGATCTGTCAAACAGATGCACACGCAACACTCAGGTTCTGGAACAGGACTGCAGTCCAAAAGTGGACGAACAACCAGAACTTTCAGCCGGAGTTTACAGCTGGTGAACGCGAAGAAGAAGAAGAAGAAAGGAACTAGCGTTTTGGTGCAGCTTGGATGTGTTGGACCAAAAGGCACAGATATCACATCCTAGCTGTAAACCACAAGGTACCAGCTGCCCTTTTACAGGAAAATGCATAAGAAGAAGGGATTTATTTATAGCTGGTTTTCATTGCTCTGAATATGATGTGGTAATGCAAAATAAGGCAACATGAGAGGAAAAGAAACAAAAACTATTTTAATTTTGCAGACATTAATTAAACTGCCAAAAGAATCTATTTTATGTTAACATTTATTTAAGTTTGTTAAAATTGCTTCTATATATATGTATGTGTGTGTGTGAGCACACACACCGACCCATCCACACACACACCGACCCACCCACACACACACATACATGCATGCATGTGTTTGTTGGGGTATTTGATTGAGTGAGTTATTGTTTGAGTGAGTGAGTGGGTCAGTGTTTGAGTGAGTGAGTGAATGAGTGAGCAAGCGAATGTTTGAGTGAGTGCGTCAGTGTTTGCGTGAGTGTGAATGAGTGAGTTAGTCAGAATTGTGACTGAGAGAGTCCTGTTTGAGTGAGTCAGTGTTTGCGTGAGTGAGTGAATGAGTGAGTTAGTCAGTGTGAGTGAGAGAGTCCTGTTTGAGTGAGTCAGTGTTTTGCGTGAGTGAAACAAACTCTATGCATGTCATCAGTTGCCTGTGGTTTTTCTGTGTGATAATCTTGTTGAGTTGTTGCACTACCAAAGATAATTATGATTCCATTATCTTTGTAATTATCATTAGCTCTATAATCACCATTATGTCACTGTGGCACCTACAAGAAAAAAAAAAAAACAATCATACTTTAACCTACCATGCATGCCATAAGAGGCAACTAGGACAGACTGGCATTAAAAAATGCTTTCCCCCGTGTGGGTTCCGGGGCCCTATTGTGGGGGGAACAAGAATAGACCCACTGCCTCCCCAAAAGCATGTCGTAAGAGTCGACTAATTGGGGAGCTTCCTTTGAAGTCGGAGTGCATCTGCCGGAGAGGCAAGGAACCAACAGTCTGTATTCAAGAGAATGAGATCTGTAAAACTGATGCACACGCAACACTCAGGTTCTGGAGCAGGACTGCAGTTCAGTAGTGGACGAGCAACCAGAACTTTCCGCCAGAGTGTACAGCTGGTGAACGCAAAGAAGAAGAAGAAAAATGCTTTCTACCACACAGAAATATATAGCTGCAGTAGCTAACCAGATCAAAGACAGAAGCAGGAAAAAAAAAACTTCTCATACTGTAGCGTGCTTTGTTTTAAAGATATTGGTGTTACCTTTTCTTTTTAGTAAACAAGACAGGCAGAGAGAGGGATCACACTACATGGGCATCACATGGTTTCTGCAAAACTGTCCAGTCTTTGTGATAGGGAGAAAGAAGAATTTCACCCCCTGGCTTTAATTAAATTGCTACTGATACTGTCAGAGCTAGAACTCTTCGATGGCTGCTGGAGATGAGGATGGAGTGCTTATGGGATTGTTCCATGTGCTATTATGTCGGCTCTTTAAACTCAACTTAAAATAATTGGCATGAATCAACTACTTCTGTATAACACGATTATCTGGAAGGATGGATAGGTACTAACTCGGGAGATGTGTTTTTTCTCTGTACGTGTATGCCATCATTTAACAGAATCTCATACAGGGAAGTTACAAGTGCCAGTCAGTTTTCATACAAAGATGTTGCCCCGCGGGTAGATTTGCATGGAATTTTTGTCCTTGTGCACTTTCCAAGAACGAAGTCACAAACTGCTGAATAATGTTATAATTTGTCGGTCATGTGAATCATGGCATTATTTCACAGAGTTGTTATTTCACATGCTAATGTTTCATCAGTTCACTTGCCATTTCACTGTTTCACATGTTGACATTTCATATATTCATATTTCACTGTTTCCTTTATTGATATTTTACTGTTTCATGCATCTGTCTTTTTCATATTGCAATATTTCATATTCTGATAATTCACATGTTGATATTTCAACATTTTATATGCTGTCATGACACAGTTTCACATATTCATATTTAATAATTTCACAATCTAATGTTTCACCTTTGTTATTTTTTAGAAAATTTAACATATCAAATGGTAAGTATACCATCTATGGAGTGACCATCTCAACATAAACATATAGTGTGTATATCGTATGTGCAATCAGTGTCTCACCTCAAACATATAGTTTGTATACAGTAACAGATTAACCATCCCAGCATAAACAATTAGTGTGTGTATACAGTATGTGGAGAGACCATCCCAGCATAAACAAGTAGTGTGTGTATACAGTATGTTAGTCACTGTCTCAACATAAATTTATGTGTGTGTGTGTGTGTGTGTGCAGTAATAGAGTTACCATCTCAGCATGCATAAACATATGGTGGGTATACGTACATTAAATCAGTGTCTCAGCATAAACATATGGTGGGTATACGTACATTAAATCAGTGTCTCAGCATAAACATATGGTGGGTATATGTACATTGAATCAGTGTCTCAGCATAAACATATGGTGGGTATACGTACATTAAATCAGTGTCTCAGCATAAACATATGGTGGGTATATGTACATTGAATCAGTGTCTCAGCATAAACATATGGTGGGTATATGTACATTAAATCAGTGTCTCAGCATAAACATATGGTGGGTATATGTACATTGAATCAGTGTCTCAGCATAAACATATGGTGGGTATACGTACATTGAATTAGTGTCTCAGCATAAAAATGTGGTGTACTGATGATGTCACTTCGACAGTCCAATATTTTATATGGTGGTAAGACTGGGTTTCCTGGCATTGTGGTGCTTTTAACTACTCCAAAACATCTAGTACTGGACATAACCACAACCCACCTACGTCCCATGAGAAAGTGCAGCCTAGGTCCCACGACTGCATGCAGGTTCTTATCTCTTGCCATTAGGTAATATAAGTAATGGGACAACTATCTCCCCTGTTGACACACAAGCAGATACCCCGGAGTACTAAAGTGAATCTTATCAGAACTATTTTTAGCCAACACTATGTGATTAGTGCCAAACATGGACACTTACATCCTCCAATGAATGTAAAATTGTGACAATTGAGATAAAATGCCTTACAAGAGCTGCAGGAGCTTTAAGGAAAGGCAGAATA